TATATATATATATTAGGGCCTCTTATCAATATTGGCTTTAGGCCACAAATACTGTTAAGCCGCCCCTGAAACAGGTACAAATTAAAATGTACCCCCATTACCCCCTATGTATTATCCTGGCTCCTACCACCAGCAGTTTAGTGCATAAAATATTCTACATTCACGCACGGACCGGAAAATAGTTGTACCTTAGGGAAATTTGATGTAGACAACCTACCTTAACTCAAGAATTAGTGACTGCTTTCACGGGTTCGAACTCGTGACCTATAGATTATACAGAGATAACTTCACCATTGTTATTTATATTATATTAAAAACCATTTACCAATCAAAGCCTTACTGCAACTGGAAGAGTTACTTTCATGTAAGATTACAGATTCAAGTCGTGAAAATAACTTTGTATAAAAACATGCATGCAAAGCACTTTTACATACAATATATTCAATGTGATTCGTCCCTTCTCCAAACCCTACACACGAAAGTCTAAGTAAATCGAGCTGGCCTTTTATTAAATATAAAAGAAAACCCATTCAATGGTCCAGTCTAGTATTTTTAGGTGGGGTGACAAAAGTAGGGCATAGTACCAATGGAATAAAGAACAAAAGAGACTGAATGCCCTTATACGAGACTAATCCCTAAACAAAACCTATTTAGTTCCTTTGTTCCCACACAATCCATGTGCCTTTGTTTTTCTACTTCCCCCATAAATACTCCCCTTTCTTCCAATTCTTCCTCGCACAACTCAAAAAACAAAATGTCACGACCTAAAAATCCCTCTGAGAAGTGATGATGACACCTAATATCTAAAACTAGGTAAGCCTAACACATACTAATCACTAATAAAATTTAACTAACTTAACTACAATAAATTAAATAATTTATGTAACAACATAGTCAACCAACCTCAGTTACAAAATTCCAAAACCGATATTACAAGTCACAAGCCTTTCTAAGAGTAACTATAAATAAGAAGTACATCATTGTGCCGGAATAATAGGAAACAATGGAAATAAATTACAACAAAAAGTGACTTCGGGGCCTGCGAACGTCGAACATATATACCTTGAAGTTTCCAGCAGCGCAGACATAAGTCTTCAACCAATTCGATCATAAGTACCTGGATCTGCACAAAAATGTACAGAAGCGTAGCATGAGTACACCATAGCAGTACCCAATAAGTATTAAGCCGAATCTCGGTAGAGTAGTGACGAAGTCAAGTCAAGATACCTACCGGACATGAAACACCCGTGCAGGATATGACATGAAACTAACAAGAAAGAAATATCAATATGAGGCCAAATACAGAAAGATTTCAAATCACAATCAACAATAAAAATAAGGGGAGCACGAAAGGCAATGAGAACATCCAAGTAATTACACAATAACATAGTCGGGGTACAGAAGCAATGTGAATGTGTTCAGGTAAGGGAAACCGATGACAGCTCAGTCAATCAAATCATTCTAAATGCACGGATTTCAATAAGAATTACCCCGAGTATCACATCTTGTAATCTCAGATTTTAAGTCATAACTTCCAAACCTTACACACATGGCACCTTGTGCCCATATTTTTTCAAATCAGTTTCGCACAGCAAAATCCACGTGCTACCATGTATCTTGTACCCGTATTAGATATTACTTTAAAATATTCAGGAGATTTAATCTCATACATTAAAGCAAAATAACAACATAGTATAAAATAGTAAATCAATTGAGAAAAATGAGTTTATTTTTGAAATTATTTGGGTGAAGGAAATAATATTTTCAATTAAAATAAAGTATCTGGTAAGTTACTGATTGAATATAGAATTTATTAAATTAAAAAATAATAACACTTCCTTTTCAAGTAAGGTAGAAACATCAGATAGGGTAAGGAGATTAACTTGATAAATCGATTAAAGTGAAATATGACGACTATTAAAAATAGTAAAGTACCGAATGAAATGACGAGTGCTAAATTAAGAGTCACATAAGGTAAACATGTTATTAATTCTTTTATTTAAAACCACTATGTTACTAACAACTCAGAAGGATATGAGAAAATGACTCAGCATAGTAAATTTATCTTTAAAATCAATTCAGCAAAATAATAGTGAGGAAAAAAAAACACGAAGTGACGGCGAGGCATAAAATCAATGAAAAACAACTCAATCCTCAAAAACTAGTAAAAACCAGTACTACCAAATCCACAGAGTCTCGTACGAAAGAACCAAAGCCAACACAATATAACAAGGAATACAAAACATATAAACTGTTGCGGCACGCAACCCGTCCCATCGTACAACACTATCCACCCTTATCCCACCATGTAAATATCAATAATAATAACTAAATATATGTTGCAGCGCGCAACCCAACCCCACCATATAATCAGAGTCAATTTCATAATTCACCCGTATTTCACCATATCAATCCACCCTTATTTCACATGTAGCGGCGCGCAACCCGATCCCACCGTATCAATATGAATTCTCCCTTATTCCACCTGTTGCAGCGTCCAACCCAATCCATAATAATTTAAATCAACACAAATAATTCAATAACTCAATTTACAGGAATTTCTACAATCAAGGGTATGAGTACACGGCAATAAAGGAATTATGTAAAAATCAAAGGAATACAAAAAACTTACAAAAATGACAAGACAAGTAAGGCACATGATAACTAAGATGTGCAATCACAACAATTAGTACAGGTAGCAGATAAGCACAGAGTCATAGAAGGAACTCAACAATTAAGAGGTCACGATACAATAAGGAAGGCAACATCTTCAACTAAAGCATAAGAGTGCAAAATATCAAGTAAAGGCACGGGAAGTATATAGATGCTCGAAACCGGTCAATTACCACATATAGGCCGTGTACCCACTCGCCACCTCGCGCACACGACTTTCACATACCACAAATAACATAATTATCTCAAACCTAAGGGGTAGTTTCCCTCACAAAATGTTAGGCAAGATACTTAACTTTACGAAGTTAGGTAGATACTCTAAAATGGCATTCTCGCGTGAAACGACTTCCAGACGGCTCAAATCTAGCAAATATAATTTTATAAAATAATTAAAATCCATAGAAAACAATTTCGAATAATAAGACGTCGACTTTTTAATTTTACACTAAAAAGTCAACTCAAAAATCAACCTCGGGCCCACACCTCGGAATCCGATAAAAAATTACGAAATTCGAACACCCATTTCGATACGAGTCCAACCATACCAAAATTTCTCAAATCCGATCACAACTTAACCTTCAAATCCTCAACTTAAAACCTATGAAGTTTCTACAATTTTTCTCAAATTTTCAACTCAAATCACTAATTAAATGATGAAAATGACAATAAAATCGTGAAATATAGCCAAAACCGAGTTAGAATCACTTACCCCGATGAATTACTTGAAAAACCTACGAAACATTGCCACAAACAGAGTTCTATAGGTCCAAAAATAAAAAATGAGATGAAACCCTCATTTATATGGTACCACATCTGATCTCCCAAAGTGTTGACTACATATTTTGTTTTGTGGTCCACACTTCAGAGTTCCGCGGCCGCGATCCAAATTGTGCGGCCTCACTTCAGCAACAAATGCACTATCAGGATTTAGTAAATTAACCATAATATTTGGTACAAATATTAAAATGATGAATGATTTAACTTTCTGGAAACTAGACTCAAAGAGCTACAACTTTCATGCTTGGATCATCTCCAAATTTCTTATAAATTAAAAGATATAAGCTTTCGAAATCAGACCATCAAACCTGCGGATTTCCCCTGCTGCGGTCCGCACTTTTCCTCTGCGGTTCGCACATTTTCCACTGCGGTCCGCACATGAGGCTTTGCCTCTTCACTCCAAAATGTGCCCTCCGTATTTCAACTGCTCCAGAACATCATCAAAGTGTCGAAATGCCCAAACTTGTTCAAAACTCACCCGAAACACACCTAAGATCACCGGGACCCCATCCAAACATACCAACAAGTCCTAAAATATGATACGAACTTACTCAAAGCTTCAAATCACAAACTACAACATCAAGATGACGAATCGCACCTCAAATCAAACCTATTAAAACTATGAACATCCGACTTCCAAAACTAATGCCGATTCATACCAAAATAAATTCGATTGACTTTAAATTTTGCACACAAGTCATAAATGACATGACAGACCTATTTCAACTTCCGGAATTAGAATCTGAATCAGATATCAATAAAGTCAACTCTCGGTAAAACTTACGAATATTTCTAACATTCAAATTTCTAATTTTTGCCGAAATGCATCAAGTTAACCTACGGACTCCAAATCCAAATCCTGACGCACGCCTAACACCAAAATTACCATACGAAACTATTTAAATCATCGAAACAACATTCCTGGGTCGTCTACATAAAAGTCAAACTTCGACCAACTCTTACCGCTTAAGTTTCAAAAAACAAGAATCCTTCTTCCAGATTGATCCCAAATCATCCGAAACCCGAACTCCACCGTACACGCAAGTCATAATACATAATACAAAGTTGTTCGAGACCTTAAGCCACTGAACGGGACGCTAATTGCCAAAACGACCAGTCGGGTCATTACATTCTCCCCCACTTAAACATACGTTCATCCTCGAACGTGCCAGGATCATTCCAGAGCCATCAAATCACTGTGTGACCTTACCATACACATACATGGGAGTGATCCCACGTCACCCTAACCCATGGAAGCTTGACCACACGACATAACTGAAGATCATTATTTTGACCTCATCCCATAAACCTTAAAACCAATTTTCCAACGTTCGAAATTCCTTACAACACTCGAACTTCACATTCACACACTGTATAAGCCAGTACGAGCTGAATCGAGCTGCAACCCCAACCCAGGATACAATCACATGATGTTCCACACAACTCCGATGCCTGGGCAATAACTTTTTACCGCCATAGCTGCCTAATAACAATCTGGATACCAGTAATACACTTCATATCGAATAAAACCTTATTCCGGAGCTCCACAATGTTGTCCATGATAAAAGAAACATGAAGAAACTCATAACCACCCATGAAATCAACAAGCCAAGAAGCTCTCTCGTCTGTTAAGGGCCATTACCCAATTTTGAGCGTAAATAGCATCATCCCTCCAAACACTCCTCATTTTGATACGATAATGCAACTCCCAAGTCTAGAAATCTCATCTTAGCCAATACAAGCAGCCCAACTAATAACTCATCACGGAACCACATGGATTCTCTCCCAACACTGTCTGTACACCCAACCAACAATATCTTAGATAGGCAACAAAAATAGAAAGAAAGCAAGACACGAGGACTATCTAGAAAATACAATAGATACAACAACAAAATTATAGTTTCATTAACTCATCCCACAGAGGGAAAACAAAACACCAAATAAACACAAGGAAGGGTATTCTCCATAACATCCATTGTGGCTGTCACACCTCTTTTTTCCCGCAACCCTATTGCGAGGTTGAGTTAGAAGAGTTTTTCCAATTGAAGTGACGTTTTGAAAAGGGATTATTTATTATTTAGAGTCACCACTTGGAATTGAATTTTGGTGTTCCAAGTCACCTTTCATTTGAATCCCTTATCAAAAGGAAGGTTTGACTCATAATTTATGGTCTACGAAAACAGAAGACTGAGTAAGGAATTCTGTTGACCGAGGGAAAGGTGTGAGGCAACCCTCGAGTCCCGTGGTTCTAGCACGATCGCTTTTATTGACTTATATCAAGCTTAAATCAATTTTTGGCTATTCTTGTATTTTTATTGGTTATGGTTTGTCTATCTATTACCACTTAATTTATTATATTTTATTAATTATTTTGACCTAGATGCAGTATGAACACAAGGTATTTATTTGAAAATGAATGCTAAACCATGGTACGACATATACACATGGTCAAAATATAATTATTTTAAATTTAAAGGCATCGAGACGCAGGAATGCGCACATGACCCTTTTATTACTTAAGCATATCAATCTAAGGTTCATGTATGAACACATGAGCTAATATTTAAAGTTCTTCTAAAACTTACTAGCATATTTTGGAGTTACTTTGATAGCTATTAATTTACAAGAGATGGGATAACTTATTCGTGTTCATTTATCTTTTAATTAGCCCATAAATATGCTGGAGGTCTTAAATGCAATTATAGTCTGACATCCACCATGGCCCAACATAATCTCCTATATTTTACTACTAACCAATTTATGAAACTAGATTAAAATCTATTGAATGAATAAAATAGATATGAACAGAACAAGTTAGTCACTGAAGGATAGGAGATTAAAATGGATCTAAGGTACGACAAAATGGAAAACCCAATAATTTGTGGAATGAATTCCTTCCTAGCTTAATTTCCATTAATTACCTCTAGAAGACAAGTTTAATACTAAAAAGAATAATTCATGCAGTAAACAAGAAAAGCAGAAATATTAATACAAGTTGATCAATGAGGTTAATCATATGAACTTTCAAAAAAAAAAAAGACAACGAACCAATCTTGAAACATATTCGACAGAAGACATATCAAACTAAGCATACTCAGATGTAAACTCAATTATATGCCAACCCAATTATATCAGACTCAAAAATTAAATCGAAACAAAAGTGACCCAAAACATTAATGAGACAATAAATAGAAAGAAAAATGAACCATGGTATAGATGATTGTAAACTAAATTTTAAACCTAGTTTCACGAGCTTTATATAACTAATCAAGCACGTATTTGAAAGCTTCAATAGACAGAGACTATAAAAATTGTTACCTCAACGAAGTAAACTTTCTTCAATATTGATAAGGCAAGACTTGTACAGGAGTATCTTTCAATTAGCAAAAGTTAAACTTATCAAAAGAAGCGGACAAGAACCTTTGTCGCAAAACTTGAACGGCAATCTCGTCTTTTAAACAGAACCGAAAATAACTCGAATCACCTTGACACACCTTATCGAGAGGAGGACTGTGGTGGTTTATGGAGATGGAAAACCGCTTTTAATAGCTGAAAACAGTGGTGAAAAAGGAATGAAGGAGATGGTTAAAGAAGGAGCAAAAGTGACGTTAATGGTATCAAAGAGATGGTTGTTTAGTGCTGATTTTTATTTTCAGATTCCCTTCTTTCTCATTTTCTCTCAATCTCGTTTTTTCCTCTGTTCCCAGTTTTTTCTTCTTCTCTTTTATGTAATGTGTGTGTATTATATGTAGATGTATGGGTGAAGGAAGTTAATGTGTTGGCGTGTGTGCGCGTGAAAGAGTGGGGGACATGGGGATTGGGGCTTGAGTGTGTGCATTGGTGTAGAGTGACGTGAGGGGTGGGGGAAGTTGGGATTGATCAGATTTTTTAAAGTAAAAATCAGATTTCAAACTTTATCACTTTAACGTGATTTTACTTTATTTTTGAATTTTTTTTTTGTCCTTTATTTTAAAAGTNAATTTTTTTTAAAGAAATAAAATTTATACTCTAAGAATGTGACTATTTTTGTAGTTTTTAATATATTTTTTTCAAATAAAACCTATTAAGAGTAAAATAAAATTTTAAAATATTAAGATTAGACCTAAAAGAAATATTTGCACTAAAATAGTATCGAATTTTGGTGCGGTCAAAAATTAGGTGTTCACAGCGGCATGCAGCCCGCTCCTAAATATATCATTCCATATAGGAATACCCATCGAGCCAAAGTGCTCGGTTTCACGGATCACTTGAATGCCGATATCAAGCACGATAGAGTGCACAGATATAACCGTGGGAAAAATAAATAGAAATAATACAACATGGAGGAAAGCAAGAACAACTAAGGTGCAATGAGCAAATCAACATTACGAGGGTCATCTTACCCGTATCGCCACAAGGCCTGAACGGAATTACAACATGCGTGAAAATAATCACACAACCTCACAACCCATCTCAGCATAATAGAGGAGCACATAGCACAGAGTACCTAAACCTGATCCGATATAGAATACACATTCTCTCTGGTCTTTCAAATGGCCCCCAAACCAATTTCAATTATTTCCAAACAGGTAAATGTCCTTCCAAAAATCCATAGCAATCTATACCTAATGTATGCCGTCAGTTATCCCATCCTCAACATTTCTTCACAATCCGCAATTAAGATATAGCCTTCCTACGAGGACATCCAGCTCTG